CACTCAGATTACATAAGCTTGATTCCTAAATACCTGCTTCAGACTCAAGCCTGAACTCATGTACAGGAAGCCTAAGGTTAGAATTAGTTAGTACTCTATTATGGCCATTAATATCAAACAGAAAGTTGTTTATTTTTTATTTATTTATTTTTTGGTTTGGTTTTTTTTTGAAACAAAGTTTTTCTGTAGCTTTGGTGCCTGTCCTGGAACTAGCTCTTGGAGACCAGGCTGGCCTCGAAACTCAGAGATCTGCTTGTCTCTACCTCCTGAGTGCTGGAATTAAAGGCATGCCCCACCACTGCCGGGCTATTTAAACAGGAAGTCTAAATTGTGAGATAATATTTAAACCTTAAGAAAAGTTTTAAAGGGTCAAAATAAATCTAAGGGATATGAGATCAGTGTCAGTATAATAGTCCCTAGATTTTGGTTTTCTTCTGTCCCATACTAGGTAGCTCCTATGACATGAGACAGAGACTTTGGATTCTTTTTTTTTTTTTTTTTTTTAACAAACATGCTTGGGTTTAAAAAAAGAGAGAGAGTCACACTCCAATTTCAAAGTCAGCTTTAGTTTTTATTTGAACTGGGCCTACATGAAGACCATTTGCCTAACATGTCTGTAGGAGAACAGCAAAAACAAACACTTTGAAAGCTTTGTGAAATTTTATCCTGTTGGAAGTGTGCTATACTATAAGGCCAATTTACTGCTTTTCTCGAGATTTTTTTTCCCAGGTGATTCTCTCTTCTTCTCCTTCTTCAGATGCTTCATTTGTCCAGAGGTCTTTAGATTCCATAGTTGGAAGCTTTTATTCTCCTGGAAAGACAAAGCAAAACTCTGTCCAACCTTGATTTGGGGGAGTTTTCATTTTTGTCAAGTTGAATTGCCACTTTGTTGAATAAAGTTTTGCCTCTCCTAATCAAGATATCTCTGATATTTAGATCAAATTTTTATCAATTTTGATGGTTTCCATAGCTTTCATTCTCCTGTGGAAATAAAAGCAAAATCTCTTCCCAAATGTAACACATACTCTGGTTTCCATTTTGAGGTCAACACATCTTTAAAGTAAACAGGGTGATTTAGTTCAGTGGGTTTTTCTTTCTATTATTCAATGTCTCTCTGAAGCTGTTGTTCTGTTTTTATTAACATTTAAAAAAATTAAAGTTAGTAAGAGGTCTTTATTACCTCTTTCTGTTTGTTAAGCATTTCTTTTAAAGTGTGATTATATTTTTCTGTAACTGCTTGTCCTGTGGGATTGTGTGGTATACCTGTGGTATGCTTTATGTTTTAATATGCAAAAAACTGTTTTATTTTACTAGAGACATATACTGGAGCATTGTGAGTCTTAATTTGTGCAGGTATCCCCACTATGGCCATAACTTCTAATAAATGTGTAATTCCAGGCTGCCTTTTTAGAACTCACAGCAGTTGCTATTGAAATAGTAAATATGTATCTATGGTGTGTTGCAAATACTTTAATTTTCCAAACTCTGCAAAATGGAGCACATCCATTTGCCAAATTTCATTTCTTTGAGTACCTTAGGAGTACTTCCTGCCTATAGTGGAGTTTGGTTATACAGGGAACAAGTAGGATATTTTCTTAGGATTTCCTTGGCTTCTTGCCAAGGGAAGAAAATTCTTTCTTCAAACCTTTGCTACCAACATGGTGTTTCTTATGAAATTCTGAGTCTTTTAATTTTTTTAAAGATTTATTTATTTATTTATTATAGTGTTTCTATATGCATGTATGCTTCCACACCAGAAGAGGGCACCAGATCTCATTACGGATGGTTGTGAGCCACCATGTGGTTGCTGGGAATTAAACTCAAGACCTGTGGAAGTACAGCCAGTGCTCCTAACCTTTGAGCCATCTCTCCAGCCCCAGTAATAACCTTTTCCAAGGCTTGTATCTTATCACTAGTATATTTTTCTACGTTTTTTTCTATCTTATCAGTCAATTTCTCATATTTGGTACAGTTTTCAAACCATTTTTAAGGATAAAATATGCATTGCCAAATTGATAATAATTATGACAGACATTAAGTCTATCCCAGATAAGTTGTTTATCCCTTCATTTATCTTTTCTCTTTGCATCCCATCCATGGTAACAATAAACAGAGTCCTAATTCCCTGCGTTGAGGTTTGTCCAATTTTTTAACATGGGAAAGGTCTTAATATTGTCCTTCCCTCCCTTCTTTTTCTCTCTCTTTTTAAAAAAATACTTACTTATGTTTAATTAAATTATTTATTTATTCGTTTAATAGCCTAGTTCGCTATTTAAAAATTTCCAAGTGTCTTACCAGCTCTGACACCAAGTATGGAATTGTGCAAAGGTAGTCAGATGTAGTGACGATGTTCAACCAGCAGGTGGAGTAGGCGCGACACCAAAGCAGCTCAGGCTCAGCACGCTAGGAGCAAACGTGTAAGGCAGCCGGACTAGCTTAGCCCTGGTGCCTTGTGCCGCTGAGCAGAATTGGATTGAGAGGGTAGCGGAGGGGTAGCGGAGGACACATGAAGAATTGTGAGGAGCCGTGGATTTGTGCCCGAGAGACAGCAACGGAAAACCCCAGTACGCAGGAAAGCGGGCTAGATGGAGCTGGTGGGTGGGGGACTGGGGTGGTTGGTGTGGTGGAATCACTCCGCCTTTGCGTGGTTTACTAATGCCGGCGTGAGCACTAGCTAAAGCGATTTCTTTTACCGTTTATTATAAAATATAACTCGGGGACAAATATTAAAGATAAAAACCTGAGATAATCGCAAACGACTGGGAAGCACACTGCCACTCTTCGCGTCGCAGCTCAAAAAGACCAGGCAACCTTCCTTTCTGCCTCGTCCTCTGGGGCCTTTCTTTTTCTTGTCCCCGTCCACCAGGGAACTCCATGATCCACTCCAGGCAGCTGAATGTGAACCCAGCCTCTCTAACCGATGCCTCACCCCACTGAACGTCAGATCACAGCACAGACAAAGTTCCGTAGCAGAGTTTTACTGTACTTAAAATGTCAAGCAAAATGGCTCGGTGAGTACTTGCCACCGATGCTGATCACCTGAGTTTGATCCCTGCAACCCACATGTTGGAGAGAAGTAACTCCCCCAATTTATCTCAGGACCCTACACACACACACACACACACACACACACACACACACACACACACACAGAGTTTCAACTTTACTGCATAATGTTTACTTGTGCCAAAGTAGTTGTACCAAATTATACTTCCAAGTGCAATTTATGGAATTTTTTTAATCTTACTTTTCATTTATTTATTTATTTGCTCCATGTCTTTGTCAACACTTGTTTTTGTTTCTCGAGACAAAGTTTCTCTGTGTAGCCCTGGTTGTCCTGGAGCTCACTGTAGTGCTGGGATTAAATGCGTGCACCACCACTGCCCGGCTCCTTTTGTCAACATTAATATTCATGCCAATATTAAAAATATTAAAATTTTAAGCAATATAGACAGCTTAGAAATGAAAATTTTCTCTCAAAATTGCCACTCTATAGAAATTTGTCTTTAAGTCCATGTTTGTCTCCGTTTTACAATATTTGTATGTATGTTTATTGTATATATGCATATATATGTGCAGATACACCTCACTTTTATAAAAACATTATTTTAATAAAAATTGAATCACATACCACTGTTTAGCAACTTCCTTGTTTTGTCTTTTTTTGTTCTATTTTGTTTGAGATGAAGGGGTCTCACTTCATAGCCCAAGCCAGCCTGGACTCATGGCAATCCTCCTGTATCATCCTCCAAAGAGCTGGAATAACAGGCATGAGCCAGCACACCTGCAGGCAACTTTCTTTTTCATTAATTAGCTGTTTATCGTTTGGTAGATGTTTGTTATGTGCGGGTGTTCCCTGGTCCATGGAAAGGAGTGGAGAGGCACCTCAAGGATGAATTTAGCCTTTTTCAGCACCAGGGTGGATTCCTCTCCACCACTGAACCGCCTTTGCTGAGCAAAGGGCCCTTTTATTGTTAGCAGTTCACACCTTTAGCAAGTCAATTTCAGGCACCAAAGTCTTTGATCTAAACCCTTCAGAGGGACAATGCCAAATGCAACTTATCAGTTAAGAATATTATAGTTTTCTGAGTTTTTCATAAGCTAAGTTTTCATAGGCTTTGATCCCCTAGGAAAACTCTCAGATAAGACTTCAAACAGAAAGGACCGGAGACAAGCGGTAACATTCGCAAAAAAGCAGATCAGAATCTAGGTGCTAAAATACCTAGATGATTGGGGTCAAATCCTGCAGTTCTGTGGGGATGCTCCCCTCAGATGTCATTCTGTGGAGTCATTCACTAAGGCTGTACTTACCATATGCAAGTCACTGTTCTAGTCTGATGGAATATACCCATAGCAACCTGTCTGCAGGGACCCTTATTTTAGCAGGGGAAATAATTGTATATCAAATATTGTCAATAACTGAATTAGAAGTATAGGGTGTAGCTCATTGGTAGAGTACCTACCTAGAATATACTAGACTCTGGCTCAATCCCTAGCATTGTAAAAATATATAAATTAACAAACTAATCAATTAATTAGGGTACAGTATAGCCCTGGGGTAGAGCTTAGAATGTATGGAGCCCAAGTTCTTACCCCAGCAAGAATAAATCAATAACTGGATGTTGTACTGGAATGTATTATTGGCTACAGAATAAATAAAAAAAGACAAATGAAACAAGGGTAGGGGAGATTGGGGCCTGTTGTGGGGGACTTGTCTTACTGCAGTCTGTTTTATTCATCCATCTATCCATGACATCATTCCGGGGGCTGGGTACGCCTTGTGGACAAGATGCCTAATAGACATACAGCATATGAGCAAATTCGGTGAAAGAAAAGTAGCTGGCTAGGGTGGGGAGAGGCTGCTCAATCTAGATTGATGATCAGTACATGGTTTTCTGAGAAGGGGACACATGGGCGGGCATTCAGCAGAATGCTGACTGCTGTCGAAGCCCTTCTGAGCTTCTGAGAAACTAATATTTGAACCCCTCTTTGATTCCCAGGGCCAGTGGCGCAGAAGAAGTGGTGATCCCTTGTGCTTCTGACAGTGACTCAGGAAGTATAGACCTACAGCTGAACAACTTAGAGGACAGCCAGAAAGACACAACTAATGATGATTTTGCAGGTGAATGGAAGGATATAGTTTTGTTTTGTTTTTTTTTTAAGTGTGTGGGAAGAAAGATTTTTGCCGTGTTTTCCATACAAGGAGCTGAACCCAAGACTTCATTCATGCTAGACAAACCTCAACCACCAAGCTATTCCCTAGACCTCTCTTTTAAAGTGCAGTCAACAGCACTTGTTGCTCTTGAAGAACACCAGGTTCAAGTCATAGAAACCGCATGGTAGCTTACACCATCTGTTCCTCCAGTTGCAGGAGATCCAAGCCCTCTTCTGACCTTTGTGGGTATTGCATGCATATGGTACACAGATATACATGCATTCAAAGCATGCATACACATAAAATAGAAATAAATAAATCTTAAAAAGTCCAGCCAAAGACATTGATTGAGTAATTTCTGGGTGACCAGTCCTTGGCTAGATTTTGATGATTAATTTGGTTCATGATGTTAAAACCTTGAAATAAGACTGGCTTACTTCCCTGTCTCGAAAAACCAAAAAACCAAAACCAAAACAAAAAACCAAAAAAAGATTGTCTTTCTTAGCACTAGTCTAAACATAGAGGAAGCTAAACTTGGGCCTGAGAGCTGCTGCTGCTGCAAACTGCAACACACCGTGAATGCTAGAGGGATTCCAAGAAAGGAAAGGCCAGTGTGGCTGACAGCAGGGGTAGGGAGTGGGGGCTGTCTTCATGTTGATGGTGGGACATAGATTGGCCTGCAAAATACTTATCCTCATGTACTCAGCAAACAGGACTTGAGTACAGTATGAGATGCTGAGTCTACAACAGTAACTGTAACCTACCGCCATGGTCCCTGCCATCTATAAAGCCATTTATTTTATCATTAAACTTGTTTGCTGACAAGAGGTCAGGTTCAGACAGTCTTAGGACAAGCTTCTGTGCTGGGGTCCGTAAGATATGCAGTAGATGACGGTGGGTATTTATGAGGGTGACCCGCCAGATGAACAATTTATCTGATTGATGATAAACTCAGAAGGTTTATGGGTCCATTGCCTATCAATACTGTCTGCACCTGTAATTCTCTTGGCCATGGGATTCTTCCCAAAGCTGTTGACAGTGTGTTCCTCATCTACTGGGCACTGTTGTTCCTGTAAATTGACAGAAGGACGACTTCCCTCCGCTGTGACTTCCGGTGGGTAAGATACGCCTTTATAGTTTAGCCTTTCTTTGTTCCACGAGAAGGTGAGAGACTTAGAAGCCTATTTTCCATCATCAGCAAGCTGGCAAGGCCATCGAGTACTGTTAGCTAGACTGAGTGTCTCTGTGCACAGATTGCAAGTTAGACTTTCCACAGATAATACTCAAGGACGGAGGCGCAGATGTCTGAACCTAAATCACTAGCTTCTTTTGCTAGGTCCAATTGATAACACACAAACCTGTGGAACTGGCGAGACTCCCTAAGCATTGATGCTCTGCAACACCTTTTAAACTCAGTTTATAATACAGAATCCTAGACTCAGATAACTGTTTTTGTTTAAGTCCTGAAATTTATGTGAGTAACAGGGAAAAGCAATTAACCAATTAACCAGGTCCAGAGGGAAACAGCTTTATGCCAGTCACCATGGGAAAGGCTTCACAGAAGGCCAGGACTGCCCAAAATGGTCTGGCCTGGCCTCACAGCCTTGAATAAAAAGTTACTAACTTCCGGGCCTGTAAATTCCCTCCTTGTGCTCCGAGGATAAAGAGCAGCTTTACCCTGCAGCTTGTACAGCTTGCAGGATAAATCTATTTTTAGACTAGGGACACTTTCAATGCCAGCCTTGAGGAAAGTGCTGATTGCTTTACGACCTGCCGCCTGTGGGTTGCCATGGTTACTCAGGACCCCTTGGCACTCTGCTATCCTGTTAGGGCTGCAGGGAAGGGGGGAAAGACAGGACACCTTTACGTCTTGTTAATCGCCCGGTGTCGGTCTATAAAGCTTAATACACATAAGAAACGTAGAATAGTACACGACTTCTTTATTTCTTCTTTAGACCCTTCAGTAGTTTAGCCTTTCTCTTCTATAACGCCTCATAAGCAACCTTCTTAAGATAACGCTACAGCCTAGACTCCTTTTTGCAGCTGCCTACTAATAGTAGCTGACAAGTTTGTTTCTCAGGTGTCCTTTCTCGTTTTACTTAAGGAATGCATGGTTCTGAGAAATCGCCTTGGTAACCTTTTTTTACTGCCCTAAGTTTGTTGTTGAATGTGTATACAAACTGTGTGAACAAAGAGAATGAGAGCTGCATAACCCAGTCCCCAACTACACCTATTGGAGGAAAGGGACGATCCCACCCTCCCACCCCCACTCTCCCACCCCCTGCCAAAGCACATGTTCCACCTATACCGATTGAAGTCCACTCAAGAACAATCTGGCACCACCAGAAACTAATGGTTCTACAACAACAAGATTTGAACATCCTAACACAGATGAAGCAGAAGAAAAAAACCTTAAAAATAACTTTTTGAAGATGATTGAGGCCCCTAAACAGGAAATGAAAAAATTCCCTTAAAGAAGTGGAGAAAAAGACAAACAAAAAAATTTGGAAGAAATCAACAAATCTCTTAAAGAAAACCAAGAAGGTTGGTCAGCGATGGCACATACTTTTAATCCCAGCACTTGGTGAAGGACCCCAACTTCATTGGGGTCACAGTTAAAACTGTGGTTTTAACTTTAACCACAGTTATAACGCTCTGCAAAGGTTTTCAGATAGCAAGCTTCATTAAAGGCCGGGATGCTGAGCAAATAACAGGCTTAATTAAGGGTCTCTGGAATCCAGTGCCTCTGAAATGCTGAGCAAAGACAGCCTTATCTGGCTGCGAGACAGGAGATTTATGGATTGGTCATAGGAACAAAGAAAGAGAAGATTGCGAGGCCTGAGTCACGTAGAAAGCGAGGCTCGTCACAAGTCAGGGGCTGTGCAAATCAGACATCGAGTCGCCAGCCAAGCTAGGAAGGCAGGAAGAGATAAGAAAAACAGGTAGCACAACCCCCTCCTTGGTATCCAGGTGGGTCTGGACAACCCCCTCCTTGGTATTTAGGTAAAAGGTCAGGAGTGTGCCACTCAGCTTAGCCTTATTTAAATTGACCAATGAAATGAAAGCTTTTCTGCTTCTGTACCCGCGCTTTTGCTCCCCTATAAGAACCCCTCATCCCCAACCCGCGGGGCACAAGTCATCCAAGAGACTTGTCGCCCAGGTACCTGTGTATCCACCAATAAACCTCTTGCTGTTTGCATCCGGCTGCGTGTTTTCGACTGATCTTTGGGGCACGGGGCCTCTCCCGAGGGAAGACGCCCTGCGGGAGTCTTTCATTGGGAGGCAGAGGCAGGTGGATCCCTATGAGTTCAAGGCCAGTCTGGTCAATAGGGCAAGTTCCAGGACAGACTCCAGTGCTACACGGAGAAACCCTGTTTTAAAAACACAAAACAAAACAAAAGAACACGCACACAAGTAAAAGCAATCAAACAGGTGAAAGAAATTGTTCAAGACATGTAAACTAAAATAGAGGCAATAATAAAGAAAACACAAACCGAGGTATATCTGGAAATGGAAATTTTGGGTAAACAATGAGGAACCACAAACACAAGCATAAGCCACAGAATACAAGAAATGGAAGAGAGACTCTCAGGTATTGAAGATATGATAGAGGAAATAGATTCATCAGTCTAAGAAAATGTTGAATCCAACAAATTCTTTTTTTTAAATATTTATTTATTTATTTATTATGTATACAATATTCTGCCTGTATGTGTGCCTGCTGGCCAGAAGAGGGCACCAGACCTCATTACAGATGGTTGTGAGCCACCATGTGGTTGCTGGGAATTGAACTCAGGACCTTTGGAAGAGCAGGCAATGCTCTTAACCACTGAGCAATCTCTCCAGCCCCCAACAAATTCTTAACACAAAATATCCAGGAAATCTGGGACACCATGAAAGGACCAAACCTAAGAATAATAGGGATAGAAGAAGAAGAAGTCCAACTCAAAGGTACAGAAAATATATTCAACAAAATCATAATAGAAAACTTTCCCAACCTATGAAAGTATAGGACACCAAATAGACTGGACCAAGAAAAAAAAGTCCCCTCACCACATAATAATCAAAACACTAAACATATGAATAAAGAAAGAATATTAAGAACTGCAAAGGAAAAGGCCAAGTAACATATAAAGGTAGACCTATCAGAATTATGCCTGACTTCTCAATGAAAACAGCGAAAGCTAGAAGGTTGTGGACAGGTGTTATGCAGACACTAAGAGACCACAGATGCCAGTCCAAACTACTATACCCAACAAAGCTTTCAATCACCATAGATGGAGAAAACAAGATATTCCATGACAAAATCAGATTTAAACAATACCTATTCACAAATCCAGCCCTACAGAAAGTACTAGGAGGAAAACTCCAACCCAAGAAAATCACAGACCATAGATGATCTCACCACAGCAAATCCCAAAGTAGAGAAGAACACATACAATGCCACCACCACAACAAATATAATAATAGAAACTAGTAACCACTGGTCATTAGGCTCCCTTTATATAAATGGACTCAATTCACTTATAAAAAGACACAGACCAACAGATTGTATACAAAAAACAGGATCCATCCTTCTGTGGTGTACAAGAAACATACTTCAACCTCAAAGATAGACATCACCTCAGAGTAAAGGGTTGGGAAAAATTTTTCCAAGCAAATGGACCTAAGAAACAAACTGGTGTAGCTATCCTAATATCTAACAAAATAGACTTCAAACTAAAAATCAGTCAAAAGAGGTGAAGAAGGACATTTCATATTAGCCACAGGAAAAATCCATTAAGAGGAAGTGAATTCTGAACATCTATGCCCCAAATACAAGGACACTCACATTTGTAAAAGAAACATTACTAAGGCTTAAATCACACATTAAACCCCAAACAGTAAGCTGGGAGATTTCAACACCCCACTCTCACCACTAAACAGGTCTGCCAGGCAGAAACTTAACAGAGAAAGAAAGGAACCAA